CACCCCATCCCTGGCTCCCACACATTCTGGACCTACCTCCCCATTCTGAATCCCGCGTGGCCGACACTCGGGAAGGACCGAGGCGAGGGCTGCCTGGGAGCCCTCGTGAAGCCACCAAGGCACTGACAGGGGCCACTTCAGGGCCCTCCGCGCCTAGGCTCGAGGACAGACAGCGGAAATGGGCACTCTGCATGCCAGCTCCAGTGTGGGCTCCAGCTGGGGCTATGTCTTAGGGGCACTGCTGGCTGGGACCAGGGTCCAGACATCAGCAGCAGAGGCGCATGGCTGTTCTCCAGATACCTGGCTCCCCCTCTGAGTGCTGCCCAGAGTATCAGACTTGGATGGTGCAGGGGTCAGAGCCCAGCAAATGCTCTTGCTGGGCAGCATTTCTTACAGGATTGGGAATTCTTAGCTCTTTCTCCTCCCCTCCCCTCCCTTCTCGACAACTCCCCCCAAACCCCTTTGTTCTGTTCACTGCTGGCTGCTCTGTGCTCTGCAAAGGTGAGACATACACTCTCCTCTCTGTGTAATCCCCATCCCTCCATCCATCCATCCGTCCATCCATCCATCCACCCATCCATCCATCCATCCTCCCTCTCTCCTAGGGCTACATCAACACAACCACAACTGCACGCTGGGGATGAAATCAGCTGATGTCTCCATTGCTGATACTGGTTTCACCCCAGAGTCGTGGGGTCCCATTTTCTTTATGAGAACATAAATTAAGTGAGTTGCACACAGCCGTGTGCTGCCCTGGTCTATGCTGACCATGCACGTGTCTCTCCAACTCCATGTTCAGTGACATCATGCTGGTGGCTCAAAATCAGCCATGATGGGAGAATTTACACCATGGCAAGTGGCAAGTGCTACCAATCAGGACTTCCCACCACCACTACAGAGCTAGTTGTTACATTTAAAGCACTTGAACTTGTTAATTCTCCAAGTTAACTATGTTTCCTCATAGTTAAAAACAATAGCATGAGATAATGATTTATACGCTTATATATAAATAAGCCAGGGTTCACAGATGCATGGTAGGGCAATTCCCAAGGTAATGACAATAAAACTTAATTACTGTTAACCCTGGGAAGGTCTTTTGAGATGAGAAAACCTTTAGTTTATAACATTTTTTGAGTCATTTAATATTATATTAGCAAGGCGGGGGCCACAGGAGAGCTGTGGCCTCTTTCTCACCTGTGGACCTCCATGTAGATCTTTTCCTCTGCTGGAAAGACTTAACCTCTCTGCCTGCCAGAGAATCTGCCTTTCCTTCAAGATTAGGCTCAAATGTCACCTCCTCCAGGAAGGCTTCCTGGACTTTCACAGACATTGCTGGCTGTGCCCTTCACAAGCAAACTCAGTCCTTGGCAGTGTGGTGTCCCCAAGACAGCCTTACCATTCTGTGTTGAGTTTGTGTCTCTCTTCCCCACAAACCTGCGGGATCCTCCAGGGCAGGGGCCTGTCTCATTCACATTCATAACTGACCACAGTCCTCACCAGATCAGGTTTGGATGGTGAGGGCAATCTCCCCTGACCTTCTGCTCTCCTGCCAGGAGAGATGAATACCGAGGGAATATTTTGGGCCTTTCTCTCCATCAGCCCCACCCTCTGGAGAGAGGACTGATTAATCTCATTGATCTCTCCCCACCCCCCACCCCCGCCTCTCATTTAGACAGAAAGGAAACAAGGCAGAGACCCAGCCACAACATCTGGAACAGCTGCTGGGCTAGGAGGGGGAGGGGCAAGATCCTTCAGGACTTACCTGCTTCACTACCTGGGACCTTTAGCATGTTAGCCTTCAGCTTAAGAAAAATTTACTCTCAAATGCTTTCTTAAAAACACATCTAGGGCTTCCCTGGTGGCACAGTGATTGAGAGTCCGCCTGCTATGCAGGGGACACGGGTTCATGCCCCGGTCCGGGAAGATCCCACATGCCGCGGAGCGACTGGGCCCATGAGCCATGACCACTGAGCCTGTGCGTCCAGAGCCTGTGCTCCGCAATGGGAGAGGCCACAACAGTGAAAGGCCCGCGTACCGCAAAAAAACAAACAAACAAAAAAACCCACATCTAACAGGAATGCAATTCCAATTACAAGAGTATCAAAAAGAATAAAATATTTAGGAATAAATGTAACAACAGAAATGGAAAACTTATACTCTGAAAACTACAAAATATTGTTAAAGGAATTAAAGATCTAAATAAATGGAAAAGTATCCCACGTTCATGGAATGGAAGACTTAACACGGTTAAGATGGCAAAGTCCCCAGAACTAGACTCAAGGCAATCACTATCACATCCCAGCTGACTTCTTTGTAGAAACTGATGAGTTGACTCTAAAATTCACACAGAATTGTGAAGGACCCATAATAGGCAAAAAAAATCTTGGAAAAGAGAACAAAGTAGTATTCACACTTCCCTTTCTCAAAACTTACCACAATGCAACAGTGATCAAGTCAGTGTGGTACACGACAGATATAAAACTCAATGCAATAGAACTGAAGGTTCTAACAGAAATAAAACTGTGTGTGTAGGTTAACTGATTTTCAACGAGGGGGCCAGGACCATTCAAAGGGGAAAGAATAACCTTTTCAGCAAATCGTGCTGGGACAACTGGATAGCCACGTGTAAAAGAATAAAGTTGTACCCTTATCTCACATCACAGGCAAAAATGAACTCAAAACGGCTCAAAGATCAAAATGGCTCAAATGTAAGAGTTAAAAATAGAAAACTCATAGAAGTAAACATAGGGGTGCATCTTCATGGCCTCAGATTTATCAAAGGATTCTTAGATATGGCACCAACAGCATGAGCAACAAAAGAAAAAATAGGTAATTTAGACTTCATCAAAATTAAGCTTTTGTGCCTCACGGGATACCATCAAGAAAATGCAAAGACAACACACAGATGAGAGAAAACATTTGCAAATCATATATCTGATAAGGGCCTTATATCCAGAGTAAAGAACTCTTACAACTCAATGATAAAAAGACAACCCAATCTAAATATAGGCAACAGATCTGATATATATTTCTCCAAGGAAGATACGCAAATGGCCAGTAAGTACATGAAAAGATTCCTGACGTCATTAGTCACCAGGGAACTGCAAATCAAGACAATGATGATACTACTTCACCACCCACTGAGATGGCCAGAATCTAAAAGTCAGATAATAACAAGTGTAGGAGAGGATGTGGAAGAATCAACGCTCACATGATGCTGGTGGGAAGGTAAAATGGTACAGCTGCTTTGGAAAACAGTCTGGCAGTTCCTCAAATGATTAAAACTAGTTACCATATGACCCAGCAATTCCACTCATAGGTATATACCCAAGTGAAAAAAGCCAGTCACAAAGGAGCACATATGGTTTCATTCATGTATTTCCAGAATAGGGGAATCTGTATAGAGAGAGAGTTGGTTAGGGGCTGCTCAGGGCTGGGGAGATGCGGGGAGGGTAGCTAAACGGTGAGGGGGTACACGGTCTCTTCTAGAGGAGATGCAAATGTTCTCGAATTGACTGATGGTGACGGTGTGTGAACACACTAAAGCCCCTTGAATTGTACACTTTAAATGGGTGAATTGTACGGTTGTGGATTATATCTCAGTAAAGCTGTTTTTTAAAGACCACATTTAAAGAGAGTGATACAAGCTAATATGGAACGCTGACATATGACAGAGGTGGCATTACAGATCAGAGGGGAAAGGGTGGGCTATTAAAAGATGGTGTTGGAACAGCTGGCTATCCACATAGAAAATAAAATTAAATCCCCCGCCTCAGGCCATGCACACACAGCAAATGGGTGTGTACTTAGGATCTGAATGTGCAAACCAAAACTTTAAAACTTCTGGAGAACAGTGTAGAAGACCAGTTTTCTAACTATGGGGAGGGGAGGATGTCTTAAACAAGATACAAAGTGCACAAACCATAACAAAGTGAAAAGGAAAATGGGTCAGATCAATAAATCTGATTATAATTCAATTTAAAACTTTTGTTCAAGAAGACGCCATAAACAAGGTGAAAAGACAGACCACAGACTGGAGATAGATGTCTGCAATACAGGGAACTGACAAAGAAGCAGGAGCAGAATGTATAAAAGATTATTACAAACTACTTTTAGATAGACAAGCATCCCATGGTAAAGTGAACAGAGGATATGAATAGGTAATTCACAAAAAGGAAACTTGAATGGTCATTAAACACTGAAAAAGCGCTCAACCACACTGAAAGTACAGGGAACGCAAATTATATTAAAACAAGATATTATTACACGCTTTTCAGGTTTGGAAAAAGTTTTTTTTAAATAAATACCTCATGGTACAAAGAACTGGCAAGGATGTGGGAAAATGGGATTCTTTTCCACTGCTGGAGGGGACAGAGCTGGGCACATCCACTTTGGCGTGATTGGCATATCTAATTAGTAAACTGTGAACCACGTTCGCTGAGCCAGTTCTCCTGCTTTGGAATCAGGGCTTGGCTAAACTTCCCTGATGACAGTAATCACTGAAATCCTGTTGAAAGAACGAAAAGATACCCCGGGTCTAAAACTCAGACCCACCAGGGACAGACCTGGTAATAAGTGTATTTAACAAGCTCTCCAAGGTGATGCTTATTACCCAGCAAGTGTGGGGAAAATTGTTCTAAAGAAAACCTAGCCCATTCTCACAGGAGGCATGCCAACACGGCTCACCACAGTATGATTTATAATCGTGAAAAAACTGGAAACCATTTACACGTCCATCAACAGGAGACTGGAATACAAATTGTGGGACAGCCATACATTGAAATGCTCCCACATAACTCCAGCCTCTTTCCTGGCCAGCCCTGAAATGCTCATTTCCAGAGGCTGGCCAGGCCTCTAAATAAATATGTCCTATGTGTGATTTTCCCTGTTGGTGCCATGTTGCATGAATACAGCTGAGGGAAACGGGAAGGATTTCAGTGCTGGGATTCTTCTACCTTTCCAGTAGCTGACTCTTTCCATCAAGAGGCGGAGGGACTCACCCTCGCCAGCTCCGTGATGGCGGCGGGCTGCCTAGAGCAGGAGGGCCTTCTGCAGGAGGTGCCCCAAACCCTGGTGCGTAAGATGCTCCTACAAAGAAGGGTTCTGTGGTCAGATGTGTTTGGGGATGCGGGCTGCCCCGCCCTCCTCAGCCTCACAATGCCTGTCTCCTTACTGCAGACACCGGGGAGATCTGCTTTACAGAGACTCAGACACAACGACAGCGTCGGGACACCTTCGGGGATGCGGCTGGAATCGTGGGTATATTAGCCTAAAGCAGCCCAGCTTCTCCCAGATTACTCGCCTGCAGAACCCTTTCCACGTGGCCGCCTTTCCTAGAAGTCTCTCTGGCCCTCGATGGGACCTCCAAGCGGCCAGACATGGGTGGGACCAAAAGTAAGTGATGCCTTTTTCCAAAGGCCAGAACCTAAGTGTGTGGAGCCATGAGGAGGTGGCGCTGGCGGCCGGGCTGCCTGGGTGGTGCAGGCGGTGGGAGCGCCAGGGCGGAGGGCAGAGGCCCAGCCCTCCGGGCACTCACAGCTGCAGCTCAGGCTGCGCCAGCTTCAGACGTGCAGCCGAGCGTGAACTTCCTGCGTCCGGCGGCCCTACCTGGGTCCCCTGGGGTCTGTGCCCCTCAGCACCTGAGCGCAGTTCATACATGGCACACAGGAGATGTCCTTCCTGACCCCCTCTCTCCTCACCCTTGCCTGGGACCCCAGGCCACGATGGCGCCCTGCGCCTCATCTGCCAGGGGAGGGCCTGGCAGAATGTGGGTGAGGCCCTCGGCCCCCGCTCAGCACACAGCCGGCAGCCCCGTGTGGAGGTGCGCCCCAGGAACCAGGGCGGGTGACGGGGACGGGTCTGCCAAGGCTTCCTAGGGGTGACACACCTGGTCGCAGGGGCAGGGGTGATGGAAGGGAAAAGGAAACTGGACGCACGGCCCAGTGTGCGAGCATCAGCTCCTGCCCCGAGGCCTGGGGGCTGGGGGCTGGGGGCCGGGCAGGCACTGCAGCAGTAAGGCCTTCAGGCACCTCAGCTGCCCTGTCTCGAGGTGGTGCCTGCCATGTCTCGAGGTGGGAACGGCACGGCCAGGCCCGGCCTTGAAGGCCACCTGGTGTCGTCTGAAGAGGGAGGGACGAGGGTCAGACGTAGGCACTCGGGCTCCCCAGGGCCCTGGAAACCGGAGGTAGCCCCCGGAGAGTGTCAAGAGTGACAGTTTATGAACCTAATTCAGTTTTTTCTTTGGATCAATAAAGTTTCCAGGTGGGCTCCTTCCAGAGGACGTCTTGCTTTAAAGAAAAGGTTGGACGGAAGACAAAGCCGCGTGGGTGGGCTGGGGTGGGAGTGCACCCCTCTGCCCAGGGCGCTGGGGTGTGGCCAGGGGCCAGCCCGTCTCTGGCTAGAGCTTGGGTGAGCCACCCTGGCCTTGGGCCTCAGGGCCCAAGGGGGCCAGGAGCAGCCAGCCCACCTGGCTCATCTCCTGGTCAACCACAAACCGGGCAGGCACCTCTCTGGTCCTTGTTCCCCCAGCTCTAAAGTGGGGAGGATAATGGTTCCTACTTCTTATGCACTCAAAGGGGACTATTATTATAATTCAATGTCCCGATCATTAGAATGCAAATAATAGTGCCTGCTTTGTCTCCTTTAGTGGTGGAAGGGACACGCACGTGAGAGCTCAGGATGACAAATGCTGGCCGTCACCTTGACACGGGCAGATGGAGAGTTGGCCTTGGTCTGGCGTTCCGCAGCCCACCTGGGGCACAGGCCAGATTGGGGGGGGCGGGTAGGCAGAGCCTGGGGGCTCGTCGGCTGTGGAAGGAGAGAGCGGGGGATGGCAGGGCTCTCCCCAGGCCGCACAGACACTAGCCATGGGTGCCCCGTCTGGGACAGGCCTTCCTGGGACTGGCACCCCAGCCTGGAGAAGCTCTCCCCGGTCCTCTGGCCATGCCCTGCTCAAGGAGGAAGGAGGTTTGTGTGTGCATGTGCAGGGGGCCCGGGAGACCCCTGCACCCACGTTCCTGGCAGGCCTGGGGGCAGGCTGTTGGCGGGGGGGCTGGCCCCCTGCATCTCCTCGCTGCCTCACACTTCGTACCAGCACTTTATGTTCTGCCGGTTCTTAACGTTTTTTTCTTTAAATATATTTCTGGAAAAGCTGTATTTTCACTCTTGTCCTGCCAGGTTTGTGTGCACCCCTTCAGGCAGTAAAATCTCACATGAAGTCATCCTCAGCAGCTCATAATCAAAACGCTGGGTGTTCAGATAACAAAGCGATGAAGAAAACCAGGCCTGAGCGCTCTGGACAACGTGGAAATGGCCAGTACAGGTGGGATCCACGTTCTCCTTTGGCTCGGGGCTCCGTTTTACGAACGGCTGACGGCTGAACATCGCGGCAGACGTAACGAGGGCTGTGAGCCTCTCCGTGGGCCAGGAGGCCACCTAGAGTCCTTGCCCAGCCCTGGGCCCTGCTGTCCAAACGCGTCCCCTCTCCCGCTCACACCCCTACTGCACCAACAGGATGGAACACTTACTACTGGGGGAGTTTTACTCACTCATCCACGCGCATGACGGCTTTGGAAGCCAGGCTGTGGACGAAGAAGACACGGCCCCCGCCCGCCCCCCGCAGAGCAGGTGACGCAGGTGGCAGTGAGTCTGGGGGAAGCTGGTGAAGGGGGAGGAGAGGACAAAGGGGACCAGGGACTCAGGGGAAAGAGGAACACAAGAGCCGGCACCTCCTTAATCATTCTTCCTACGGATGCAACACCTCGATCTTGGCTTTCCAGCCTCCGGAACTGTGAGAAGATGCATGTCTGTTATGTAAGCACCCCAGTCTGTCCGGCCCGAGCAGACTAAGACATGGCATCTGAGCAGAGGAAGGGAGGGAGCCCACGTGGCACGCCCCTGGGAGAACAGTGACCATTCTGTAGAATGTCCCTCGATTTTTTTGTTTTTTAAACAGATGTATTGGCATACAATTCACATACCACATCAATCACCTATTTAAAGTGTACAAATCAATGGGTTTTGGTGTATTGCGTTACTAATTTTTCTAAATCGTGGTAAAATACATAGAACATAAAATTTGCTATTCTAAATAGCAATTTGCATTTTTAACAGGACACTTCAGGGGCACTCATGACATTCACAATATTGTGCAACCATCGCCACTATCTAGTGCCCACAGGTTTAAAAACACCCCAACAGAAACCGTGTTCCCATTAAGCAATAACTCTCCATCCCCACCCTCCCCCAGCCCCTGGCAACCACCATGTGACTTTCTGTCTCTGTGAATTTGCCTCTTCTGGGAATTTCACGTAAGTAGAATCATAGAGTATTTGTCCTTTTCTGTCTGCTTACTTCACTGAGTGTAATGTCTCAAAGGTTCATCCATGTTGTAACATGTGCCAGCAATTCATTCCTTTTTATGGCTGAATAATACCATCGTAACGTGTGACCAACAAGCGATTGGTCTCCAAAATTTACAAACAGCTCAATGCAGTTTAATATCATCAAAACAAACAACCCAATCAAAAAATGGACAGAAGACCTAAATAGACATTTCTCCGAAGAAGACATACAGACGGCCAAGAGGCATGTGAAAAGCTGTGCAACACTGCTAATTATTAGAGAAATGCATATCAAAACTACAATGAGATATCACCTCAGACCAGTCAGAATGGTCATCACCAAAAAAATCTACAAACAATAAATGCTGGAGAGGATGTGGAGAGAAGGGAACCCTCCTACACTGTTGGTGGGAATATAAATTGGTACAGCTACCATGGAGAACAGTTTGCAGGTTCCTTATAAAACTAAAAATAGAGCTACCTTATGATCCTACAATCCCACTCCTGGGCATATAGCTGGAGAAAAACATGGTCTGCAAGGATACATGCACCCCAATGTTCATTGCAGCACTGCTTACAACAGGCAAGACGTGGAAGCAACCTAAATGTCCACTGACAGAGGAATGGATAAAGAAGATGTGGTACATATATATAATACAACGGAATGTTACTCAGGCATTAAAATGAATGAAATAATGCCATTTGCAGCAACATGCATGGACCTAGAGATTGTCATAGTGAGTGAAGTAAGTCAGATGGAGAAAGGGAATGCGGAATCTAAAAAAAAGAGATACAAATGAACTTATTTACAGAACAGAAACAGACTCACAGACTTAGAGAACGAACTTAATGGTTACCAGAGGGGAAGGGTGGGAGGAAAGGATACTTAGGGAGTTTGGGATTGACATGTATACACTCCTATATTTAAAATAGATAACCAACAAGCACCTACTGTACAGCACAGGGGACTCTGCTCAATATTATGTAACAACTGAAACGGGAAAAGAATTTGAAAAAGAATAGATACATGTGTACATATAACTGCATCACTTTGCTGTACACCTGAAATTAACACAACATTGTTAATCAACTATACTCTAGTATAAAATAAAAAGTTAAGAAAAAAAATTCCATCATAAAGAAAGACCACATTTTTTTTACCCATTCACCGACTGATGGACATTTATTTGGGGTTGCTTCTGCCTTTCAGCCATTGTGAAGAACGGTGTGCTATGAACATTCGTGCACAGGATCTGTTCACTTCCCTGCTTTCAACTCCCTCCTCACTGTGGTACAACAGAGTCTTCCCATGTTTATGGGGAAGGGCACCCAGGGCTGCGGTGCCCTTCTCAGCGCAGTGTCAGGAGTGTGTGATGTCTTACTGCAGCTGACATCCACCTTCCTCACCTGCCTAAGGTTGAGTCTACCAGAATCCTCCACTGTAAACTCCCCATTTCCCCCTTTATAATTGCTGAATATTTGGTGAGGGGTAGTTTAAGGCTATGCAAATATCCTGTTTATGCTTAAACTTCCAAAGGGCTCTGTTTTGAACCTGCCAGGTTGGAGATGTTGAATGATGGGCTAGGGCAGAGGTCACAAGGCTACTGATGCCAGAGGCAGGGAGGGCCGGCTGCGGGCCGAGGTTGGGGGAGCATCCCTGGCTGGGTTTACGGTCACAGGCCTGGGCGGGTTGCCTGGGGGGAGAATGAAGGAGAGGGGCTGAGAAGGAGCCCCAGGGATGACCATGTGCTGAGGGCCGAGAGGACAGCGTAGCCTCAGCGGCCGAGACCCTGGAATCCGTCCTTAGTTCTTCAAGATGACAGGCCTGCAGTTTCTCCCCCCAGCCCTGCACCTCTGCCCGCCTCCCTCCCTCCCACCCTCCAACTCAGATGCTGCATCTTCCGGGACCACTCCAGGTGCCCGGTGGGATGGGACTACTCCCTTCCCTTGGCCCAGACTCCTCAGGACTTTGGTTGTGCCCTTGGGACAGCTCAGAGGCCAGGTATCGCTCGGCGTGAACTTGGACCTCGGATGCAGGTCCCGTGTCTGATCTTCCACAGTCCTGATGCCCCCACCACTTCTGCACACAGGACACCTCGTGAAGTTTAAAGCCAAAGGTATGCCCCCAACAGCCCCGAGTCAGGCTCTGCGTGTGTGGAGTTCTGGGGATTCGAGGTAACTATGACAAAGTCCCCTGGGGGGCGCTGCTCTGGGGGAGGGAACCAATCCCAAGGGCACCTTCCCGCAGGGAGATGAGCCGGTGTGGTTCCCGGGGAACCTGTAACCCTCGGCACCGTTCTGCTGGTTTGGTGTAGCTGTGTGTTGAGAGCCACATGTCAAAAATGACTTTCTATTCTGTGCGACAACAAATACTTGGGCAGGAGGGTCTCACCTGCTTGTCTTGCAGGTTTCACACACGTGCACACAGAGAACACACGCTGTCCGACGGAAGATGTAACTCCCAGAGGAGCCAGCACTGGGGTGTTGAGTCCCCTGCTCCGAACCAGGTGCGACCACGGTCACAGCTCCCAGGGCACCGGGGCTGGGGCTGGTGGACCTGAGCCTGGTGTGTGCACGGGCACAGCATGACGACCCCAGGCTCAGGGCAGCTGCACCGCGGCACCTGGGCCTGTGCGCCTGCAGGCTGTGAGGGTGGCTTTTTGCTTCCCATGTCTCAAATGTGAACCTGGACCTGTCCAAGTCTCAGGCATACGAAATCACCGTTTGGGAAGGTAGAATCTTCGGTGTTTCGGGCTAGGAGTGCGAAGTTGCCCTGCTCCATCCTGGCTCTGAGACTCAACGCTCCATAACCGGGAGCAGGGACCTTCCCTCTCGGGGCCTCGCTTTCCTCGTCTGCAAAACGACCGAGATGACACAGGCGACCCAGAGTCCAGAGCGCCATGCTCTCACCCTGGTGACAACACTCAGCAGCTGGTGAGGGTGGGGGCAATGGGACCCTCCTCCACTCCGTGGGATGACGACCCAGCATCATCTTTCTTGGAAGCAATAAGGCAGGACTTAAACTACATGTTCCCTCTGACCCAGCCATTCCATTTCTGGAAATTTACTGTATTTTATTTTTATTTCTTTTACTTTTTGGCTATGGCACGCAGCATGTGGGATCTCAACTCCCTGACCGGGGACCAAACCCATGCCCCCTGCAGTGGACGCGCAGAGTCTTAACTGCTGGACGGCCAGGGAAGTCCCTGGGAATTTATTTTAAAGTAATAATCAAACAAGTATACAGAAATATATGTTTGTGGTGAAATCCAGACCAAGTCTGGAGTTTAGTTAACAATGTATGTACCAAATTCGGTTTTTTGGTTGTGACAAGTGGACCGTGGAATGTAAGATCCTATCAAGAGAGGAACCTGGGTGGAGAGAGGACAGGAAGCCTCTGTGCCATCTCGGTAACTTTTCTGTGCCTGTGAAATTATTCCAACATGAAAAGTTTATTTATTTATTTATTTTTGGCTGCCCTGGGTCTTTGTTGCGGTGCACGGGCTTCTCATTGCAGTGGCCTCTCCCGCTGCAGAGCACGGGCTCCAGGAGCCCGGGCTTCGGTAGTTGTGGCGCACGGGCCCAGCTGCTCTGCGGCATGTGGGATCTTCCCGCACCAGGGCTCCAACCCCTGTCCCCTGCATTGGCAGGCAGATTCTTGACCACTGCACCACCAGGGAAGCCCCCAAAAGTTTATTTTTAAAAACATCCACACATATGTCTATAAAAGAATTTTCACCTCAACATTGTTTAAAATAGTGAAAAAGTAGAAACAGCAAGGTCTTCGAGTCTGGGAATTATTAAATACATAACAGCCCAACTGTGTCATACGTGCCTCGCAGCTGCAAAAAGATGGTGGTTCCGTATACGTCGACACAGACACCCAGGGTGTATTAAGGCAGAAAACAAGATTCCTGAACTTTATACTTATGGTATAATCCCACTAAAGTAAAAAAGTATGTGTTTATACACACATAAAAGAGTCCAGGGCTTTCCTGGCGGTGCAGTGGTTGAGAGTCCGCCTGCCGATGCAGGGGACACGGGTTCGTGTCCCGGTCCAGGAAGATCCCACATGCCGTGGAGCGGCTGGGCCCGTGAGCCATGGCCGCTGAGCCTGCACGTCCGGAGCCTGTGCTCCGCAATGGGAGAGGCCACAACAATGAGAGGCCCGCGTACCACCACCACCAACAAAAAAAAGAGTCCAGGGGAACCCATGTCAAACGGCAACAGTGATGACTATATCCGGAGCACAACGATGATCCAGTGGACGTATTTCCGTGTTATTGGAACAGGTATTTTCTTTACACTGTGCTTCCACTACTTTGTACAAAGGACCACCACCTCTCAGTGGATTTCTGCAGAAGCCTCCTAACCGGTCTCCCTGCTCCTGCCCTCACCCCCCAGTAATCTCTCAACACAGCAGCCAGAGGGACCCCTTCCAAACCTCAAGTCAGCTCTGTCCTCTGTGCAAACCCCACCATGGGCCACCCTGGCAGAAAAAGTAGAAGCCCCGACGCCTCTGTACCGCTGCACCTGCAGCCAAGGCAGACGGCATCCCTGCACACTGCTCACGGTCTAGAGCCCCTCTTGTCTTCTCGCATAGAATATAACCTGCCGATTTACCCTCGCCATCGCCCATCCTCCTCTGCTAACCTGCGAGCCCACGCAGCAGGGACTTCAGTCTCCCCAGCATGTTGACGACCCCCGAACACCCGAGAGCTGGTTAAAGGAGTGACCTCTGAGGAAAAACCATGAAAACACTTCCATTTATGAGTTTCTTTGATCTCACTGATGGGCTGGACTCTGTTACCACCAACACCACGACGGCCCCTCTACCTTCCAAGGTCCTCCTCCCAGGCACGTGGGGACACGGCTCCCAGGTAATGCGTGTGGACCTTTGGGGATGTTTGGGCCGAGGCTCAAAAGGTTCTCACATTTACCATGTTATGTTAAGTTTCTTGAATGGAAGTGAATACGTTTAGTCTTCTCCTTACACAGGCTTATCCAGTCTTTAAAAATGGCTGCTTGTTCCTCAAAAAGTTAAACATGGAATCACCATTTGACCCAGAAATTCCACAAGTAGGTATATATCCAAGACAATGGAAAATATATGTCTACCAAAAACTTGTACATGGAATTTCAGAGCAGCATTATTTACAATAGCCAAAAAGTGGAAAGAACCCAAGTGTCCATTATTTGATGCAAGGATAAATAAAATGTGGCACATTCATGTGATGAAATAGCATCCAGTCATAGAAAGGAATTAAGTTCTCAAACACGCTACAACTGTGCTTTCAGGCTGCCCTGCCCTCCACATTCCCGCTTGCTCTGGAGACCCAGGCTCTCACCTGGCAGGTGTGTCCCCCTCACTGGACTCTGATGATGAACAGCAGCAGACGCAGGGCTCCCAGTGCCAAGCACACACCCAGCAGAAATGCATCTCACGTGTGCACAGGACGCAGAGGAATATTCCGGTGCCCCATTCCAAATGGCCCCCAATGCCCACATCAGTATAATGGAGAACCAGCAGAAACTGAACAGCAATGAGTGGACCACCCACGCCTACACACAGTCATGGGAGGATGTCAGAGTCGGTGCCGAGCAGAAGAAGCCAGGACACAAGAGAGAGCTCACTGCGCGGGTCCATCTCATAAAGTAAACACGTGGAGTCAGGAAAGTGGTCGTCCTGGTAATGGGGGAGTGACAGAAGGGGGGAACGTGGGGACTTCTGGGGGCCTGGAAATGTCCTGATTCTTGACCTGGGGCTGGTTACTGAGATATGTTTCACTCTGTGAAAATACATCAAGCTGTGCACTTACGATATGTGCACTTCTCTCTACTGTTATTTTTCAATAAGGTTAATTTAAAGGAACTTTAGGAAGAACCATGGAACATTATACAGCTACTGAAACCATGTGTTAGAGGTTACAGGGAGCAGCTGTGTGCATGTTGACATGTGTGTACACAGTGTGTGCATGTGTGTACGGGCATCCACACGTGTGTGCATGTGTGAGTGTGCTTGTACGTGGTGTGCCTGTGTGTCCATGTAGTGCCTAAATGCATGCATGCATGTGCATGGGTACCTGTGCATGCGTGTGCATGGGTGTGCGCACAGATGTCTAACCCAGGAGAATATCACTCCTTCAACCACAGCTAGTAACACAAGTAACCACGTGAGGCTGCCCCGGAATATTAACCAACAGTCCTGCCCTGTGTCACCAAGACTGCTGCTTTGTGGTCATCCGGGGATATTAAAAGACTCAAAACTGCCCACAGAGGAGACCATAAAGGATGTTTTCATTAATAACAATAACACTAGTTACTACGTATTAAACACTGCTAGGAGACAGGCAGCAGACCAAGAACTTTACTGTGTCTTCTATCCTATTATTTACACCCATTTATGAGCGGAAGAGACCAAGGCTGAGGAGGACAGCCAGAGACACACAGAGGGTGGCAAGTGGCTGGGCTGGGATCTGACCCACCTGTGCCTCTGGTCACCACGAGTACATGCTAACTCCCTGGTGCGGGTCCTCTCCCTCATTTAAGGAACATTTATTGCGTCCTGCTCTACCCAGGCCTGTGGACACAGAGCTGACCAAGGCAGGACTGGCCCACAGGGAGCTTGCAGTCCACTGTGAGGACAGACCCAAGCACACTTAGCCCCGACAGAGATTGGGACAAAGGGCTGGGGTGTCCAGAGGGTGGAGGTGCAGGGTCCACGCCCTTTGGGACTCTGAGACCAGGGCAGGAGCCCCAGCTCGAGCTTCCGGAGTCGCAGCGAACTGCCCTCTTCCCTTCCCCTCCCCTGCTGGGAGCTCTGCCTGGAGGATAAGGCAGTGTAGCCTGGGGGCCCTCACTCCTAGTACTGGGGGTCATGAGGTAGGGCACTGCTCCAGGGCAAAGCAAGGCTGCCTGGGGGAATCCACCAGAAAGGATAGGGGGGCCCAGATGAACAAACCGCCCTCCAGGCACAGCTGCGGACCCTCAGACCCTTGGCCTCCTTGCCGAGGTGAAGAGCTCGGCTGCCCACCCACCCCTCACCCTAACAGCCTCACGGTGACCTGGCCAAGCTTCTGCTGGGATCCCATTAACTCTGCACAAAAGACCCCAAAAGGTAGAGGCGGCTGGTAAACTGGCTCCTGGTGGGGTCGGGGATTATCCCTAGTTTGCAGCACTGCTGACTGTCCATACTTCCAGCACGGCTGATTCAAGCTACCGACACGACACGGCTGGCCAGGGCCAGGGAGATGCGCACAACTGACTTTTTTTTTTTTAAGATAGACCCATCTTATTGATTGACTGCCGTGTTGGGTCTTCGGTGCTGCGCAGGGGCTTCCTCTAGTTGCGGCCAGCGGGGGCTACTCTTTGTTGCAGCGGTTTCTCTTGTTGTGGCTCACGGGCTCTAGGTGCACAGGCTCAGTAGTCGTGGCTTGAGGGGTCAGTTGCTCCGCGGCACGTGTGATCTTCCGGGACCAGGGATCGAACCCGTGTCCCCTGCATTGGCAGGTGGATTCTTAACCACTGCGCCACCAGGGAAGTCCCCTGACTCTTGCAAGCTGGGCCCAGCTGCTCCAGCACTCCAAAGGCCTACGTTACAGTTACGCCAGCAACACACACCACCTTAGCCAAACGGATTAATGTCAATGTTGGGAAAACCGGGGAAAAGCCGCCCCAAAGTGGTGGCTGGCACCCAAGGTCTCCCAGCTTCCTGCCCCACCAGGTAACAAGCAGCAGTGTGCCCCCGGGGTGCAAGGACAACGCTTCCCAGAGTGCTGTCCCGGGGGACCCAATGATGCTAACTAGACTCCGGGTACCGGGAGGGCACCTGGGCGTGCAGAGGGGATATGATGACATGTCCTGTCTCCAGGATCTGGCCCCTAAGAGACACTGGTGAGGGTGCCACCCCTGGGCCAGGTGCGCCGGGGAACCACTGGGCTCAGCGCACCTGTCCCTGGGCCTCACCCGCTGAGCGTAGCATGGTGACTGCCCACAACAAATAGTGCACGGTGGCCAAGCCCAGCTTTGCGGCCACCCAGGGGCTGAGCGGGCCGCACTGAGCCCCCCCGGCAGAGGCCCTCTGAGGACAGCAGGGGTTCTCTCCACCTGGTGCCTTTGTTCTGTCAGGTTTCTGAAGGTATAAAGTCCAATTTTCTCCACCACACACAAACGGAGAGGGGCAGCAGTGGTCCTCCGAGCCAGCTGGACCCGCTGTAACACAGTCCCTGGGCTGGAGCAGGGAGCTGGCAGGCACAGTCCAGGCTCTGTTTGCCAACCTCTTCAGCTGCTGCCCGGTGACTTTGAGCAAGGCCAGATGCCCCCAGGTCTGTGACTGCACGCGGGGACAGTGGGAGCTGGGCTTCCTCCCCGCCCGACGGACCCAGACGTGCCAAGAACTGATACCAGAAAAGACCTTGAAATTCTTGGATGAAGGTGGCCACCCAGGAAGCAAGGCAAGGGGCCGCCTCACTTCCATGTCAGGTCTCTGAGCTCTGGGCC